TGCGCGCGCGATGCGGACGTGCGCGCGCGCGTCTTCGTCCGCGCGCGCGTCGTCGTCCGCGACGTCCGCGACGTGCGCGCGCGCGATTCCGATTCCGCGCGCGCGCGCGGTGACGACGCGAGGCGCACGCGCGCGACGACGGCGCGACGTCACGCGACGAAACGCGCTCGCGGATCCGCGCTCGGCGCCCGGGCGGGACGTGGACGAGGGCGAGGGGGCGAAGGGGTTGATTCTAGACGTTCTGAAGCGCGTCGGCGACGGCGATGGCGACGCGGTCGGTGTGGAGGCGACGAAGAGTGTTTTGCGGAGAGACGTCGCGGAGTGGCTGAACGGCGAGTTGAAAAAGGTGGCGAAAGAGCGTGGGTCGAAGATCGGGAGAGATGTCGCGATGGAGACATTCGAGGGGTTGTGTTCAGAGGGAAATGTGACGCCGAACGCGCACGTGTGCACGACGGTGATGTCGACGTGCGCGAAGGCTGGCGACGCGGATAACGCGCTCAAGGTGTTGACGTGGATGAAAGATCGAGCGGACGAGGGGTTGCGAGAGGTGGCGCCGACGACGCACACGTATACGACGTGCGTACAGGCGTTGGGGGACGTCGGTAGGTGGGAGGAGGCGCTGGAGATGTTGGAGGAGATGAAGCGAAGGGGGACGCGAAGGAATGCGCACACGTACAGCGCACTCGTGCGCGCCGGGGTGAACGGTGGACGCGACGGCGCGCGAGCGGTGGTGAAACTGATTCAGGAGATGAAGAAGGACTCCATCGAACCGGATTTACCCATCGCGTCGGCGTTGATCAGCGCGTTCGGTGTTTTGGGGAGCGCCGAGAATGCGCGCGCCATGCTTCGAGCCATCGAGTCGAGCGGCCGTGCGACGGATTCCAAATTGTACGTCGATTACATGACGGCCATGTGTCGATGTGGCGACTATGAAGAGGCATTGGAGACGTTTGGGAGGATTTCTCGAACGACTTTCACGTGTACGGCGGCCATCAAGGCGTACGCGGAGGCGCTGGATTGGAAACTCGCCGAGACGCTCTTCGAGGAGATGCGTCGAGACGGACCGCCGCCAAACGACCGCACGCACACGGCGATTTTGCACGCGTACGAAAAGAGTTTGCAGTGGGAACGGGCGCTGATGTTGCTCAATCAGCTCACGTCCGAGGGCCGAGCGAAGGAGATTCATCACAACATCGTCTTGAGCGTGCTTGGAAAGTGCGAGGAGTGGCAAAGAGCCGAAGTCTTGTTCAAGGACATGACCGAGCTGTACAATATTCAACCCTCGCGTGTGACCTATAGCACACTCATCTCCGCGTACGGGCGAAGCGGTCAAACCGAGCTCGCTCGAAAGGCGTTCAATAAGATGCTCGCTCGACGCATCGTCCCTGACGACTACTCCTTCGTTGGATTGATGCTCGGTCCGGCGAGTCAAGGGAACATTCGCGAATGCGAGAAGATCGCGAAAGAAATGAAAGAGGACTACGGTCTCGCTCACACCGTGCACACGTACAACACGCTGATTCAAGCGGCGGACATCGCGGGAAATTATGACAAGGCCATGGTGACGTACGAGGAGCTCTTACGCAGCGGTGTCGAACCCAACAACACGACCAAAGAGCTCGTCATTGCCGTCGGCAAGCGCGGGGCGAGCTTTTACGACGCCACACAAAAGACCGCCGCTGTTGCGTCCTACGCCGCCGGTCTCGTTGGCGTCATGGGCATGGCGCTCGGCCGCTGGTAACGAGAACTCTCGCGATGAAAAATCAGAATTCACTTTTAACAATTACATCCTAGCGCGCGAGCAGACTCACTTCCCCAAACCGATGCTCTCCTGCACGCCGCTCACCCCGTCCTTATCGAAAAATTGCGTAAACGTCTTCGTGACGAATCCGAAGTTCCTCGCGAGCGAGAACCGCACCGCCGGCGGGAGCGGGCTCAGCAAGATCGCCGGCGCGCGCAAGACCGCCCCGACCACGCGGCTAAACTTGCGCTCGAAATCCGGTGGGTAGTCCAACCAAGGATGACTCTGTCTTCGTCCTCGCGCGCTTCCGAGCGTCGCGGGCGCGGTGTGTCGCGCGCCGGCGACGGATAACTGCGATTTCTCGTCGTAGCCAGAAAACTGCGACGCGCGCTTCTGCGCCGGTCTGTTCCCGGGAAGACCGCCCACGGACGCGCGTTGGCTCGCGATCGAGTCCTGAGAGCGCCCTCCGGCGACGGCGTCGGGCATGACGCGCGCGAGGGCGAGCGGAAGTGCGGCCGGGGGCGCTGCGGCGGCGGGTTTTGCTATCCTTATGACTCATCGTACACGGCATGATTCATCACGGTATATCTGTCATGTGTCCGATAGCATTACTTTGTTGTGTTCTATAATCGGACATATGACACGTATTACATATATTTTTAGATCCAGAAGTAAAACACGTACATTTCGAGCGACCCCGCGTCGTCGCGGGCGTCCGAACACGCGCGCGCGCGTCCGCGATGTCGCTCGCCGCGCCTCGCGCGGTCACCGCGCGTCCTCACTTCAATCGTGGCCTGGGTAGAGGTGGAGAACGCGCCACAGGGCGTGGGGTGGGGCGAATTCGCGTGCGTTCTCGAAATTTCTTCTACGACGACGACGCGCGCCTGGACGTGCAGTCCGCGCTCGATCTCCCCTCGGAGCGCGACGCGGACGATTACGATGAGTACGAGGAGATCGCGCGGCGCGTCGAGGTGCGATTAGATGTCGTCAGGTGGTCTGCTAAACCAAGGCACCGAGCGCTCAGGGGGCGAGGAAGAGCGCACGCCATCAAGTTTGAATGGCGCGCCTCGACGGACGAAGTTGCAGGTTCACGGCGACGCGCGCACGCGACCGGTGAGCGAGAGGCTGCGGAAGCGTGAGAAAACACCCTCGCGCACAGTTCTCGGTCCTCTGTTGAGCCCGTTCAAGGTTCCGCGCCGCGTGAAAGCGCGAGGGAGGCATCACATGAGCGATGACGACCGAGCTGCATTCGCCAAGACAGCGCACTTCGCGACGAAGACTGGGCAAGTTGCGATGACAGACCTATGCAGAGAATGGGGGTTGAGTAAGACGCAAGGGTCGATCTTTCCTCAGATTTGGACGACGCAAACGATCCGGTGGCGCGCACTTTGGACTACGAAGGTCTGCATGCCTCACTCCCTTCTTCTCTCCCACGATAAATTTATGTTGCAAAAGTTGCGACCCCCTCGATTCGCCGTGTGTTGTAACTCAAGAAAAAAACGCGAAAAAAAAGACCCCTCCACGAATTCACGAGTCATGAAACGTCTATAAACTGTTCATAACTCAAGATTATTTATGTATGAGTAAACAGTATCCAATTCGGACGGTATCAGGCGTTTTTACCTCGTGAAAATTTTTCAGAATTAGTGAAATGCGTGAAAACGGAGGACGCCAGTCGACGAAACGGGTACGAAGTCGCGCGAAAGTCTGCGAGAGAGTCAAAATTGATACTTTACACACGTCGGGTCCCGAGTGCGTTCCGAAAATTCCGAAAAATTCCGAAAATTCCGAAAATTCCGAAACTTTAAAACATGCTATCTGCAAGACGAAATGGCGGCGCTCGTGCGTCGCCACAAACGCGCACGACCGAACGACGCGAATAGAGAACCGCTAACGTATCGTTTATTCACTAAAGAACACAGGTGAGGTTGATATCGTCCACGTCGGGTCCCGAGTGCGTTCGGAAAATTCCGAAAAATTCCGAAAATTCCGAAAATTCCGAAACTTTAAAACATGCTATCGGGATAGTATTTCATCGTGGTGAGCGCTATTGATGATCACTACATGATTTATAAAATATTCCGTAATATCAAGGAAAACAACGTCAAATAGTGGACCACTATTATTAGTGGTGATATCCGACTGCAAGACGAAGTGGCGGTGCTTGTGCGTCGCCACGAACGCGCGCGACCGAGCGACGCGACTTGGGAACAGCTAACGTATCGTTTATTCACTAAAGAACTCAGGTGAAGATGGCGCGTGTGGTTGGAATGTTTCCCAATTCGTATAAGGAGCTGCCCACGAGAGCGGATTACGGTAAAGCTGCATTTGAGGATGATGTCGGTGAACATTTTGAAAAACTGGACCGCGCGGGGAAATTCTCCACGTTCGTGCGGTACTTAGTGGCCGTCATTGCATTGGTTGCACTGATGGTATCGGAGATTTTGAGAGATTCGAACGTCGTGTACACAGTGGCGTCGCCGACTTACGAGGAGTACGTGGCGTTGAAGAGCAACGCCGCGAATCGTAACCTCGTATGTCGCACGAAAAATGCGGCCTTGAAATACGGTGATTTCATCAGCACTACTTTCGAGTCGCATGAATCCTGTGATTGGGTGGCGAAAGACGTACTGAAGGATGAACACCATGGTCTGGGATTCACAGTAGAGAATTTGCCCGGGTACTACTACGCGCTGGATGGAAACATTTCAGCGTGTAAATCGACCGAAATGAGCCCTTCAAGAATGCATACATGTCTTGCGTTGAAAGAAGGATGCGAAAAAGGTGCGGCTTCACTTAATCGTGCACTTAATCAGCTTGAAGCAACTCTAATGCCAACGACAACGCTTTTGGAAGACAATACACTGAACGCGATTGTTGGTGTAGTACTGAACTCGACAGTCGATGGTGTTCTCCAAGCCACGCGTCAATCATCGGATATTGTAAAGCAGTGGGCGTCGCATAATATGCCACGACTGTATGCTTACATGCGAATTCATAGAGCTCGTATACAAGCGCTATCGTACAGGGCGGGTAACGATTTTGAACTTGTCAACGAGGTAAATGGCAAATGCGTGGATTATCAGATTGGATCATCCACTCATTCATGCGACAAAACGAAAATTGGTGACGGTTCATGTGATTATGCCTGCAACAGGCCAGCGTGTTTGTATGATGGTGGCGACTGTGAAGGTCAAGACTCATTCCAAATCACAGAGCCGCAGGTTGCAAAGTACGGAGGGATAAACGGCTACGCTCCTTTATCATGGTCTGGGACCTATACAAAGGGATCTCAGTACACTGGTGCAGCACTTCAGCACAATTTTATGAGTCAAACCGATGCTGACATGTACACGTTTGACAATGCCACGTGCGGTGACAATTCGACTTGGGCAAACACAGTCGAGGTTGATTACGACGCCGAAGGTATCATTCAGGATGTATACCGTGTCAACACATCGGCTATGAGTGAATTTTTAAAAACGTACGGTTATTCGATCACTCCTCCAACACTTCCGTCGCGGTGGCCGTCTACGCAGGTTCCGGTTTTCGACAAGAAGACATTTTCCTGCGATTCTTGGGTGAGAGCTTTGCACGCTATTTCGTACACGAATATGTCTTCAACAGAAATCGCGAGTTGGGTGCAGTACTACAAAGATTTGGGTGCTGCAGCGAAAACAATGATTTCTGCGTGTTCAGATTATAGTCAATGCCCAAGTTTTACGGGATTTGACCGGTTAAATTTGCGCCCCTACACGATTGGCGCGGTGGATGCAAATTGGGCATGGTTGAGCGCCACAGTGAATGAAAACTCTGGCTCAGTCATGAATCTCATACTCGATGCAGGTTTGAAACGAAACTCCTCTGGATATGCCGTATCCGCGCCGGTTTCTTACAAACAGTACTACACCGCGGCACAAGTTGACGAATGCACCTATACTCGAAGTGTGCGGACATCAAGCGCCGCCCTTCTCTCGATTGTCTTCGGTCTCATCGGCGGTATCTTCACTCTCAGCAACTCCATTGGTTTGTTCATGTACTCTGTCATCAGGAAACGCGTACTTTCAACTCCCAAAGCATGATGACGTTAGCTAACGTGCCTGCTGTAGGTAGCATTTCGTCCAAGTAGGCGGGCGGTGGCTTACTCTCAGACTGAAGTAACTTTTTATCGTACACATACACCATATTTAATATATATTCAAGCCTGTCAACTAAATATAAAATACTTGTGTTCTATAATCGGACATATAACACGTATTACATATATTTTTAGATCCAGAAGTAAAACACGTACATTTCGAGCGACCCCGCGTCGTCGCGGGCGTCCGAACACGCGCGCGCGCGTCCGCGATGTCGCTCGCCGCGCCTCGCGCGGTCACCGCGCGTCCTCACTTCAATCGTGGGCCGGGTAGAGGTGGAGAACGCGCCACAGGGCGTGGGGTGGGGCGAATTCGCGTGCGTTCTCGAAATTTCTTCTACGACGACGACGCGCGCCTGGACGTCCAGTCCGCGCTCGATCTCCCCTCGGAGCGCGACGCGGACGATTACGATGAGTACGAGGAGATCGCGCGGCGCGTCGAGGTGCGATTGGATGTCGTTTTGAGCGACGCGGCGCGCGCGCGGGCGGCGCGGGTGGCGACTCAGCGCGACAGCGGCGCGCGACGCGACGCGATGGCATCGACGACGGATCGAGCGAGCGAAATGGCGCTGATGGGCATGCAAAAAGAGAATGATTCGCTCAGGGCGGAGTTGGCGCGGGCGCGAGAGATGGTGAGCGAGGAGTTGGCCTCGGAGCGGCGAAAGAGGCGAGAGACGGAGGATGCGCTCGCGGAGCTCTGTCACGCGTTCGAGGCCTCGAACGACGTCGCGCGGGCGTACGCGGAGGAGCTGGACACTTTGCGACGTTCGAATAGCGGTGTTGAGGCATCTTGGGCGTTGATAGAGCCCACGGAAGAGGCGCGCGCGGTGGACACACGCGCCGTCGAGGCGCATTTAATTTGGCGTCGACGCGAGGCGCGAAACGAACCGGGCGACGCCGCGAGCGATTGGGCAAAGTCCGAATCGATCGTTCAGGACAGACTCGCGCGGGCGGATGGGAAAACGGTGGCGTATTGGGCGTACGTGCGCTCGGTCGCCGAGCTCTTGCGTCTCGGCGACGTCGCCGCGTTAGACACCGCATCCTGGCGCACGATCGGTGAGCTCCTCGGTCGCGTCGTCGATGCGAGAGACGCGACCAAGTAAAACGTCACTGACTAGACTGATTTGATGTACTCTAGGATTGTTCTCTTCGCTCGACTACGCCTTCCGGGACGCCGCTCTCGACGCGCCACTCAACGCCTCTCAACCACACCTCGACGTCGTCGACATGCTTCGCAGAGCGTCGTCGTCCATCATCGTCCATGCGCGCCGCATGCAGATGTCGCCATCGATCGCGATGTTCACTTTGACGCCCAACGCGCGCGCGCTCGCGAGCAAAACCTCAAAGATGGATTTGATTAAAAACCTCCGCGAGCGCACGGGCGCGCCGATTGTCGACGTCAAAGCCGCGCTCACCGCGCACGACTATGACTCCGAGGCAGCGTACGATGCGCTGCGAGCGAAGGGATTGGCCGCGGCGGCGAAAAAGGCTGGACGCACGAGCGCGGACGGCGCGGTGGCGGCGCTCAGCGGCGACCGAGGCGTCGTCCTGTTTGAGGTCAACAGCGAGACTGACTTCGTCGCGAGAGGGGAGAGTTTTCAATCCTTGATTAAGGAGTGTGCCGAGGCGACACTCAGGGCGGTTGAAAGCGATCGGGCGATGACGGAGGAACACGGCACCGCGACGGCGGGCGCGCTCAGAGCGCTTCGGGACGAGCGGATCGGAGAGCTCTTAACGAGCGATGGGAAACCTTTGAGCGACGCCGTGCGAGACGTCGCGGTGCATGTTCGCGAGAATGTTCGCTTACGTCGCGCATTTGCGTACGCCGCGACGGTGGGTGCTGGAGAGGTGATCGGGACGTATGTGCACGGAGCGCTCGCGCCGGGAGTCGGGAAGCAAGCAGCGTGCGTCGTCGCCAAGGGTGTGAGCGAAGAGTTCGCGAATAAGCTCGCGATGCATGTCGTGGCGAGCTCGCCGCTGTATCTGCGAAGCGATTGCGTGCCGACGGACGTGATGGAACGTGAGTTGGCGGTTTTCCGAACGCAAACCGAGGGCTCGGGAAAACCGGCCAACATAGTGGAGAAAATCTTAGCCGGTCGCATGAATAAGTATTACGAGGAAGTGTGCCTGGAGAACCAAAAGTTCATCCTGGACGATTCGATGACGGTGGAAAAGGCGGTGAAGGCGGAGGGCGGGGAACTCGTCGCGTTCAGTCGCGTCAAGGTTGGCGAAGGCATTGAGGTGGAGGAAAAAGACTTCGCCGCGGAAGTCGCCGAGGCTGTTCGGACGACGTAGATCAAGACGATGAGCATCGTTATAGTACTGGTACATGATTCTTTCTACACAGTGTTAATTAATCCTACGGCACATCTCGCTAACTCGGGACGAAGACCCTGAATGAGTCCGCCATGACGAAGAACGCGTCCCGCATCGAAGGCCATCGAGTCTCCGGAATCTGTGCCACGAACGTGTACAGAGTCGCCCCCCTGGTCGCGAACACCGCGATGTTGTGCCTGAACCACGTTTCCGTTTGAATCGTGTACTCGAACGTGTAGTACGTCGTCCCGTTCGCCCCTTTTCGTTGACTCGCCGACAACAATTTTCCCGTCTTCCCGCTCCCTGGCCTGGCCAACACGTTATCCAACAACCACCCAGCCTGCGCCTCGGCGTCGCCAAAAACCGCTAAATCAAACCCCCTCGGGACCGCGCTCGTGATGACGGAGACGTTTTCTTCCCCGGTCGATCCGACTGGCCCGTACGCGCTATCCGGCTCGTTCACGTCCGTCCTCAATTTTGACGCCTCCAGACTCGGTGGGTCCAAACCGACGACGCCCCGAGTCATGTTCCGTCGCACCATGGTTTGATCGACTAAATAATCCACCGGAACGATGAATTCGTACCCTTTATTCGGTTTGTAACACCGCGTGTACCCGACCACTGGATAGACGACATCGAGCCGACGCCTTCGGCTCCAATCCGGCGCCAAGCTCAACAATTTCTCCGTCACGCGTAAGAAATTAGCCCCCAACGCGAGTGCGGTGGATCCGACGACGCCGACCGCGACGCGTCGCGGTGAAACCGGCGCTATTCGAGATGACGTGGATTCCTGATAATCATCTCCCGTCGCCCGCACCGTGGCGTTCGAGCGCCACGGCCGCCGCGCACCGCTCGCGATACGCGCCTCACGCCGTCGCCTCTCTGCGCACCGACGCGCGCGCGCATCGGAGACGCACGAGGCGCGACCGTCGACGAAGACCAACCGCATTATGAAGCGCGCGACGCTCGCACCCGCACGACGCGTGTGCGCGCGCGCGCGAACGCTCCGAACGCGACGCGCGATGTCGGCGAAGCGAGACCCCAGCGCGTACCTCCCGAGCGACACGTATAACTCGCTGGACAAGGATGGACACGTCGTGTTCTTGCACACAATGGTTCGAAGCACCAATCTGAAAGCCACGATGGATTTTTTCAGCGCCCTCGGGTTGATGGAGACGCGGAGGAAGGAGTCGCAGGGTGGAAAATTTACGTTGGTCTTCATGGCGTCCTCCCCGGGGGCGCCCGAGGTCGAGATCACGTATAACTGGCCCGAAGAGGACGGGTCGACGGAGACGTTCGCGCCGCCGAGCCGCTCGATGGGACACCTGGCGTACGCCGTGGATGATATCTACGCGAAAGCGGAGGAGTTGCGAGGTAAAGGGATCGAAATCTTGAGGCCGCCGCGAGACGGGAAGATGATGTTTGTGAAATCGCCGGATGGGATCAGCGTGGAGATTTTGCAAAAAGGCGCGCCGCTCGAGCCGCTCGAACCGTGGAAGAGCATGGAGAACGTGGGGACGTGGTAAAAGTCGTTTTAGCGCGCGTTTTGGAAAGAATCGTGTTTGCGTTACGCGCACTGTCGTCGATGAAGTGATCGAACGCGCGCTCTAGTCTCTATAATGTACTCGTTCGGTCAAACGCCTCGCGTCACCGTCGCATGGACGGCGGAAGAAACGCGTCGTCATCTTCGCCGTCGCCCTCGCCGTCGCCACCGCTCTCTAACACCTCTCGAAGCACGTCGTCGAGCTTGGGTTCGATCGCCTCGATGACGCCGTCGTACGCGCTCGGCACGAGATGCGTACCGTCCTCTCTGAAAAGCGGCGCCAACGCCCCCGTGACGGGATCCTCGAACACGCGCGAGAGGTCCACGTACGCACACGACGGTCCGTTCTCCGCGCACCACTGTTCACACAGCGCGTTGACGTCCCGGACGACGTCGCTCAACCCCCACGCGCGCTTTTGCGGCGAATCGATGACGGACACGTACACGACGCCCAACTTCCCCCCCGAGACCCGTCGTCGCGACTCCACGAACGCCACAAAGTTATCCCGCACCTCCCTCGCGCGCGCCCCGTTCGAGACGTCGTTCGAGCCGCAATAATACACCACCGCGCGCGTCTCCCGGCGCGTCAAATCATCCGCGTACGTCAACAAATCCCTCGTCTCGCTCCCCCCGAACGCGCGATTCATCACGCGCACGCCTCGTCGTCGCATCAACGCCCGCCAATCCCGCTCGAAATCCCGCATCTCCCGCCACTCGCGAAAGACGCTCGAGCCGACGAACGCGACCTCTCCAAACGCCCCCGCGACGCGCTCGGCGTCCAATCGACGCAATCGACGAATCTCCGCGTGCGCCCAATGCGCGGACGACATCACGCGCGTCGCCCCGCGTGCGCCCATGCGCGAGCGACGCTCTGGCGTCACGCGGAAGACCACCGATGGCCGCGTGTGTCTCACACAGACCACAGAAGGGTCCGCGTGTGTCTCACACAGACCACAGAAGGGTCCGCGTGTGTCTCACACAGACCACAAAAGGGTCCGCATATACACGCACACAGACCACACACGGCCCGCGCGCGCGCGCGAACGCGGACGTCTCGACGACGCGTCGCCGTCGCGCTCGGGATCCCCCCCGCGGTGGACGCGCGAGGCGACGCGCGCGCGCGAACGCGGGCGCGCGAGGACGACGACCGAAATCGATCGATCCCGACGCCACGCGCGACCTCATCCGTGGAGGACGACACGTGACGCACCGCGCGTACGACGGTGCGTCGTGAGTCGTGACTCGCCGACGACACAAAGGGTCCGGAGTCATGAGTCGTGACTCGCCGATGACACAAAGGGTCCGGAGTCATGAGTCGTGACTCGCCGATGACACAAAGGGTCCGCATCACACGACCCCATCGTGCGCGTCGTCGTCGTCGTCGTCGCCGTCGACGAGCGATCGCGTCGCGTCGCGATCGATGTCGAGCGACGCCACGGCGACGGCGGACGCGCGAGACGCCGCGTTGAGGAATTTGTTCGGATCCGATTCCGACGACGACGCGGATGACGGCGGCGGGACCACGGGGGATGGCGACGCGAACGATCGAATGGGGCGGACGACGAAGGACGGGGCGAGGACGATGACGGGACGATCGGGGGTGGGGGCCGTCGTGGCGCGCGATCGGGGCGATGGGGAACGGGCGCGGGGTCGGGATGGAGACGGGATGGGCGACGAGGAGTACGTCGCGCCGAGGACGGCGGAGGACGACGCGTTCATCGACGACGACGGCGCGGCGAAGGATGATTGGGCGAAGATGAGCGACGATGAAGAGGGGGTGGGACGGTACGCGAGCGAGGCGGAGGAGAGCGAGGACGAGCTGGAGAAGCTCTTCGCGCCCGGGGGGAAGGGGAAGCGCAGACGAAAAGATGAAGAGGTGGCGCGGATGGAGGTGTTGGACTTTTTATCAAAGATGGAGATCGCGGTCGAGGAGGACGCGCGGGCGTACGCGGGTGGTAAACCGGCGGTGAAGAAGCTGAAGCTCTTGCCCGAGGTTGAGAACAAGTTGCGACACGTCGAGCTTCACGAGGCTTTCCTGCGACACGGTTTGCTGAACGTCCTGCACGCGTGGTTGAATTTACTCCCCGACGGGAACTTGCCGAATTTAACCATTCGCACGAGCCTGATCAAGCTCATCGAGCAGCTTCCCGTGTCGACGGATCAACACGACCGCAAGGAGGAGCTCAAGCGTTCGGGACTGGGCCGCATCATTCTCTTCCTGTCCACGCTTCCCGAGGAAACGCCCAAGAATAGGGCGACGTGCAAGAAGCTTGTGGAGAAGTGGTCCCGCCCGGTGTACGAGCTCTCGTCGCACTATGGCGATATTCACGTCGGCAGAGAGGTTGCAAACGACGCGGGCGACCGCAAGCCGAAGAGGCCAAAGGCGAGCGCGGTGAGTCAGCAGGCGGACGTCGCGCACGCCGACGACGCGGCGGACGAGCCAAAATACGGCGAACCTGGATATCGCCATCACGCCATGGTTCCAGAGCGATCGACCACGACCTACCTGAAGCAACCGCGCCTGGAGATCGACCCGAGCGAGATCAAGGCGCGCGGCCAAACCGCTGAGCAGCGTCGGGTCCGCCACCTCGTCGGCAAGGTCACAAAGGCGAGGAAGAAGGGTGGACAGGCCCACCTCCCGAGCGTCGAAGGTCGCGGCCTCGTCGGTTTCCAGGGATAGCTTCGCCGCACCGAAATGAATGTCACAACCATCGAATCAAAATATTCACCGAACGAACAAACGCGCGGCGCCCGTTCGACGCGAACAGCACACGCGGACGCGATGGATCTCGTGAAATTAATAGCCGCCGAAGACGGGGTTCACGCGCGCGATGCGTCGTCCCTCGTGCGCGTGGACGCGTCAACGGCGCGTCAAATCCCGCTCGAAGCGCTCGACCAAAGAGTGCAGCCGCCGCTCGAGGACTCGCTTTTCGTCTCGCACGATGTCTACGCCGTCGACGCGTCGCCTCAAGCGCTCATCACCGACGTCAGAGATTATATACACGTGTTTCGCGTGCGCGAGGACGTTCGAGAAGCGATGGCGCGGTCGTTGGTACCGCTGGCGTTGAGAAAGTTCCGGCGCGGCGTCGAGGACGCGGCGCGGGCTCTGGGCGAGGCGATCCCAGGGCCCGGCTCGGACGTGAGCGTGCAGAGGAGCAATCGTGGGGGGTATCAGAGCTACGCCGATTTATTGGATTCGTCCGACGACGAGGAGGAGGATGCGACGGATGACGGGAACGCGAAGCGGCGGAGCGACATCGAAGCCGACGGGAAGACGTCGAAGCGATTTGACGGCGACATCAAGTGGGCCATCGTGAACGACATCGCGATCGAGGCTCGGTCGCGCGTGCGCGCGAAGACGCAGCGCGAGACGTGCACGCCCAGAGACGTGTACGGTTGGCTCAACGTGAACGCGCCGGGCGATTACAACCGACTCCACGCGCACGACGACGTCGATCGATGGTCCGGCGTCGTCTACCTCGCCGTGCCAGATCTTTCGCGCACGCTCGAGGTCCCGCTTGACGCCGGGTCTCTGGGTATCCGCGCCCCGAGCGCGTTACTCGCTCGAAGCGACGCCTCCGCGACGCCGTACTTTGTCCACGCGCCCGCGCGCGGCGACGTCGTCGTCTTCTCCGGCGCCGCCCTACACGCCGTCGCTCCCTTCCCGCACCCGATCGACGTCCCGAAATCAGAACTTTCCTCGTTCGACGTTCGCGTTCCCGACGCGCGCGCCTCGCGCGTGTCCGTCGCCTTCAACGTTGACTAGCCGACTATTCATACTAGACTGTTTGCCCACACAATGCATGCATTGCGCCGCCATCGACCGCGCGCCCGCGCCACCGCACGGCGCCACCGCGGACGATGCCCCGCGCGCGTCGCGTCGTCGTGGACGTCGATGCCGTCGCGCACGATCCCGCGCCCGCGTCGGCGTACGTTCCGGCGCGCGAGACGTTCACCAGCGGCGTCGACCTTCGTGGGTGCTCTTTGACCCAGAGAGGTGGCAAGAGAAAGCGAGACGCGAACGACGACGAGGACGAACGCATGGATGACGTCGACGGCGTCGAGGACGATTTTCGATCGTACAAGGCGCCGAAATCGACGCACGAGAGCGTTCCGGGGAAAAAATCTGGACGGTCGTGGAAGCGGCCGGCGTCCCGGGCGAGCGCGCTCGGGAAACCGGCGAGCGGGAAGTCGTGGGAAGATCGCGTGCGAGAGCGAGAGGCGAAGAAGCGGTTCGTCGAGGCGAAAGCGGACGCAAAGAGGGCGCGCGGGTTGAAAATCAAGGCGGAGCGCGAGCGACGAGAGGAATTAAAGGTCAAGAAGGAGGCCAACCGAATCGCCACGGGCATGGGACAGCGACAGACGATCACGAACGCGAAGACGATCGCGAAGAAGAGCGCCAAGGAGCGGGCGAAACTTAAGAAGTTACGTATGCTCTAGCGCCGCGGTCTCCTCGACGTCGCCGTGGAGAGTAACCTTGTATATTACGCAATGATATTTCGACGCGTCTCCGCGCGTCCTCGCGCGGGCGCCGCACACTTCAGCGCACACGATGGGTCACACCGTCTATCACGGCGTCGGTGCGTTCACGTGACGATAAAACACGTCGAGATCGTCCTTTTGCGCCCGCGCGCGCGGCCATCGCGCGTTGATCAAGGACGCGACGGAGGACGATAACGAATTAGACCTAACGTCACGATCTTGATTCTTTCTCTTCTCACGACGCGCCGAGCGGTGCAATCGCTCGTAACGCGCGATGAAGGCTGTGAAGACTGACTCCTGTACCGCTCGACGTTCGCGCGCGCAGCGAAACACGTGTACTTTAACAAGGAGGTCGCCGTCGGGCTCACGCTCGGGTTGATCGCCGGCGTGGCGTGGAAGTGGAATCACTGGGGGCATCGACAGTCGCAACAGGCGTACTACGCCGAGTTGTCTAAGAAGAGATGAGTGAAGCATGAGATTTGTGACGTCGTGAGGGGATGAGATGAATGTTTTCGCGATGAAATTGTACGCACTAGCGGTCGTCGCGTTTGTAGCCGTTGTAGTCAAGAGGCGCGCGCGAGAGGTTAATCGTTCGAAGCGAAGCGACGCGACGCGCGCGATTGGATGTGGCGCAAATGGATGTACACGAATGTTTCGTTGCATCGCGCTCAGTGCTCGTACACACGTCTGATGTCGTCGACCCCATTCATGGCGCGGTGTCGGGAGACCGGGCAGTCGCCGCGTCGAACGACGTGCGCGTGTATACACGCGTAGCAGAACACGTACCCCGAGCACGTCAACAACGCAGGGTTCCTGAGCATTTTCCTACACAGCGGACACGCCCCGGGATCATCGGGAAGGGCGACGCCCTCGGGATGCGGGGGTGGACGCGGCGGCGGCGGCGGCACTGGAAGCGTCGTCGCGCCCGACACGCGTTCCTCCGCCGCGCCGTACCACCACTCCGTGAGCTTGAACCCGATCACAGCCGCTATCAAAGCGCTTTGCGCGTAATCCATCACGAAATTCTTTACCCGGAGCGCGCCGACACTCACCGCGCGCGTCGCGGGATTCGAAGCCGCGCGCGCTCGACTGAGCGCTCGCCTGCGCGTCGCCTCCAACTCTCGCGCGTTCGCCTCCAATTCGCTCGGCAGCGCTCGCGCGACGTAGCAATCCAATAAATACAACGTCGGGTCATTCACGTTCCACTGCCCTAAGAGATACCCCGTCCACGTCACGAACGTCGCCGCCTCGATCAACGCGTTTGCGTACGGATACGCCGCGACGAACGCCCGCTGCGCCGCGCTCGACATCCCGGCGTCCCGCTCAACCATCTCCGAATCACCCGCCGTCGCCACCGCGCGTTCGTCTCCACTAAAATCAGCCTCCCCATCCGCCTCGAATGTCCGTCGTCGTCTCCCGGCCCCGCTTGCGTACGCACTCGGCGCCAACCGCGCGTGCGCCGCCGCCGCCTTGGCCCGCGCCCACGGCCCGAGCGCCAACGCCAAAGCGCTCCCCAATCGCTGCACCCGATCGATCCTGTACCGTCCATCGCTCCGTAATCGATCCTTCGTCAGCGTTCTCGGCACGCGCTGTAATCCGTACACGCTCTCCGCAAGAGATCCGTCGCCGCTCGCGAACGCGCGGAGCTCTGCGCACAGCGTCAAGAGCGCGAACACCTCCTCTCCGCGATTCATCGCGGAGTGCGCCAACGTCGGCGCCCCCGCGTTCGCCAACGTGCCCAGGGTGTACGCGAGCGCGCCCTTGAGGCTCGGAACGAGACGTTCGGCGGCGATGAGCTCGAAAAACGTCGGTCTGAGCGCTGGGTCCAGTTGACTTCTGTTTGAACGCGCGCGGTGATCACGTCGATGGTTGGCGATGCTCGAGCGAATCTCGCGATCGTCTACCGTCGTCGCGCTGGACGACGTTTCCTCGACGTCACGCGCGCGGGGACGAGGGGCGAGTGGGATCATTCGTCGCGATTTAGGTCTCACGCGTCGCGAACTGCAGCCTCTGACAGCTCCGCGACGCGTCTCCGTCGACGTCGGGTAATGGAATAGCGATACACACCGAGCTGTCTTACTGTACACGTCACTAAATATAATCAACACCAATCCACGGGTTCACGGCGTCATTCGTTCGCGCCCGCGGACGCGCGCTTCCGTCCGCCCTTTAACCCTTTCAACGCGAGTCCGAGCTGCTCTCGAGCGCCGCGCGTTTCGTTAGTCTCAAAGCATGAATCAATCATAATATTTCGGCGTCTTCACGGCACCGTTGACGCTCACGAGCGGCGCGTTCGACGCGGGTCATGAAGACGCGTCTTTTCAGCCGTGAGCGGGTCGTTCGTACCTCGGATTCGATCGCGCTGACGTCTTGATCGATCTCTCCCGATCTCAGCTGCAAGACGAACGTCTCCCCCTTCGGTCCGCGCGCTCGGGAGAGCGGCAAGGCGCTCCCGTCGTCGTTCCACCTCGCGACATTACGACGGAGAAAGCCGGGGTAGATGAGGGCGTCGTACTCGGATTGGGACATGGCGGACATGACGCGCGCGCGAGCGGCGGCGGCGCGCCGGGGTTTGCGGACCGGCGCGTCGTCGAAGGACGGTCGGAAGGCGACGCGTCGATTCGAGCGGGCGAACTTTGAGGATTTACGCGCGAGCGCGATGATATCGAGTGTTGTTTCAAGCCTTTTTGATGAATCGTAAGAGATCGCGATCGAATCCGCGCGCGGCGTCGCCGAAGGCGCGAAGCCGCTCGCACGAAATGAAACCGCCCTCGGGACTCAAGAGGTAGGACTCGAAAGCGTCGGGCTTGAACGCGATCGCGGCGTAGCGCTCCTTGCACTCATTGGGTAAGACGTCCACGCCGCGGTATTTCTTCCGGAGCGTACTCTTGTACGATTTCCACGGTTGCGGCTCGAGCACGAGCGAACCACCGGGACGAAGTGCGTCTCGACATCGTGCGAACACCGCTCGCACGCCGTCGTCGCCGAAGTTTAAGTGAATCCACTTTGTAAGACTCAGCGCTAAGATGACGTCGAAGCGTTCGCGACCGAAATCGTGCGTCACCGCGTTGGCCTCGATGAACTTGACGCCCGCGAACGGGTCGTCTTCTTCGGCTTCGCCCGCTGTACTCGCCGCGCGTAAACCGTCCAACCTCCGCTTCGCCCGCTCGATCAAATCCCCGTCGATATCCACGCACGTCAACGTTTTTGGCCTCATCGCGCTCGCTAACGACAACGAAAACAACCCGTCGTTGCATCCGACGTCGCACGCGTCCCGCGCCCGGAACCACTCGTCCCGAAGCGCTGCCAAGCGCGCGTCCTCCATCGTCGTCCCGACGCGATATCCGTAGTACCTATCGTAGTTCCCATATCGATAACACTTTCCCAGGGGTGGTGGCCGCTTACGACCGCGGTGTCGTCGCTTTTCGTCGCGAGCGTCGCTCGTGGTTGATGTTTTGCGCTTTTTGGTCGAGTCGGTGCCGTCACGAACCTGTCGATCCCATTCAGACGTTGACGGTGCGTTCGATCGATCGTCTCGCTCGCCCGAACGCGCGATGCTCGGTGTGTCCTCCATCGGCATCGATCGGGACGATCGGGATGAGCGAGACGAGCGGGGCGACGCGCGAGGGTGTGCGGGGCAGCGGCGGCGGTTAGAGTTGCTGCGTCGAATGCCACCGTCACTACGTCATTCGTCGCAAAACTCGCAATGTTGTCATGACTCGTAAATTTCAATCTATCAAAAAACAACGAGTTACGGAGATTGATCCAAGGCGACCGTACCGGTACACATGTTAAAGTAACAAATGGTAACGGTATCTGCGAACGTCGCGCGGAGATTGTTCTTCTCCACGGGCGGCTTGGTGAACGACGATGCGGGCGCTGGGTCCGTCTCAGTGCGGTCGAGCGTCGATGAGGTCCTTTCGTGTGATGATACCCCGAACGATGTGCTCGTCGTCGATGACTGGGAGATGGCGTAGGGCGAGGGAGAGGAAGACGCCGTGCGCGCGGTCCGCCGGGTAATCGAGCGGCACAGCAAGCGGCGCGGGATTCATGTACGTCCGGATGTCGACAAGGGGCGACGCGAAATCGCCCCCGGCATGGTCGGCGTCGGCATCAGCGGGGCGGCGCGGCGTGGAGTTCGTTCGCATGATACGCTCGACCTCAATGTCGTCAAGCGTCTCGTCGAGCAAACCGGCAGCAACGCCGGGTGTCGCTCCCTTGGTGACTCGCTGGATGTGCGCCGTGCGCATCTCTAAATCCAAGCGCGATTGCGTCGTCTCGCTTGCGCTAGGAGCGGCGTCTCTCGGGCTCGCTGCGAGAAGAACTTCGAGTTGCGAGCGTAAGATTAACCCAGAGAGTTTACCCCTGTCGTCGACAACGGGAAATCCGTTATGAGTCGTGTGCTCCAGGAGAGATTTCACCGCGTCTCTGAACGCAATCTCGGGTAAGAATGCAGCAGGGGTCGCCATAACATCCGCGGCCGTCTTCCCGTCCAGCGAACTTGAGGGATCTCTCGGAAGATACGCCACAGTTTTGCTCCTGGATAACTCGGCATGATAAATCCCGTGGGCAAAATAATTCCCGACAAGGTTGCTCACGATGACGGCGACGATAATGGCGAACACGAAGGCTTGCCCGTTCGTGCTCTCGACCATGATAACCACTAAGGAGACGGATGAGCGGAAGACGCCACCGAGCGCCGAAGTGGCCCCAATGAGGGCATATATGCCCGGTTGAATGTCCCACGACTCGGGCAACGCCGCTTTGAGCATCAGCCCCGAGCACGCGCCCGTGCACGCGCCGAGGAAGAGGCTGGGCATGAATAATCCGCCCGGAACGGCAATTCCGAACGCGAGCGCCATCATCACGAGGTAACATACCGCGGCGATGCCCAAGCCTTGCGCGGTGAATCCGTACGCCTCGCCCCACACGTGCTCAGCCATGCCAAACATCCAGCCGATTGCGCGCCCGGGGTAGACGAAAAACACCGTCGCGATGTCGTTGATTTCCCCCTCGGGACAATTAAATCGTACGCCGAACCCGTCTTCGACCCACGCGTCGGGAGGCGCCATACACTGTCCCGCAAAGGCAGACGCGGCGAATCGGATTCCGACCGTCGCCAACACAACGGCGACGCACTCAAACAATCTCGCAATCTTGTGCTTGGGCGCCGGACGAAATCTAGACGTCCACGCCTGAATCTTGTTGAACGTTACCCCGGTGAGACCAGCCAGGGCGGCGACGATGACAAAGAATGGTAGCTGATGAAAATAATCACGCGGCGTCGTCGGCCGCAGAGAGTCTCCGGTAATGAACACCATCCCGGGATTCCCTCTCAAATCGAGTAAGGCGAGCACGAAAGACGCGATTGCGGCGCAAATTAAGCACCTCCACATCGTGCGCTGACTCCAATACGTGCTCGCTTCCTCGAACGAAAACAGAACGCCTCCAATGGGGGCGCCGAACGCGGCCGCTAAACCGGCAGCAGCGCCGGCGGAGACGAAGTCTCTGTGCGTCGACGGCGCCGCCAAGTCTAAGAGCACAGCGTCTAGTTTTTGCGATTCTCCAAATCTCGGCCATCGTTGGCGCCGCGTCGCCGCGCGGCGACGCGCGCGGCGACGCCTAGATTCCGCGAGCAAACCGTCCATGGCGCCGTCGCCGTCCAGAATCTCTTCGTCATCGCTCTCCGAAGACGCCCACGCCCCGCTCTCCGAGCGTTCGTCACTATAATCATCGTCAGTGTACCCATCCTCGCTCGAACTCGACGCAGTCTCGTTGTATCTCCGTCTCAGCGCATCCGCTCTACTCGCCTCCGCCTCCTCTTTGTCCTCGCACAAAAACTTCCTCGGCCAATACAGCGCGCACACGCTCGCGATACCCGCTCCGATGTGCACCATAGGCCCTTCTGGTCCGATCGCCAGAGCGCTCCCGACCCCGGCGATGACCCCGACAATCTTCGCCGCGAGCGTCCGTCCGCTCAACAACCCGGGCACACGCGCTCCGTTCAGCGTCGCCATCACCTGCGTCACCCCCCCACCGCTCGCTGCGGGTGCGTAGAATATCGCCATCCATCCTCCTACCAAACCCAGAGTCGCCGAGGTGACGAAAAACACTGTCGTCGTCGCCCTGGCGTCGTCGCCATAGTATCGCGACACCAATGCGCTCTGCATCGTCACGATTTGCATCGTCGCCGCGCTCACTCCCCACGCGCACGCCCCTGTGATCACACCGATCACGACGGTCAACGCGTACCTCGAGGCCCTAGCGGCGAAGCGCACGCGGGATTCTAAACGCGACGCGGCGTGTGAGGCGACGCGGCGTGCGGGTGGCGCGCGCGGCTGAGAATTTACTGAATCTCGGTTGATTCGTCTCCTGAGTACGGCGTTCACGCCTAAATCGTACGATATCGATTCGTAGTACCCGGCGGATGTACGACGAACGACCCGGGGGGGCGTCGGGGGATGGTCCGGCATGATGCGCGTCGCGCAGTGGGGACACGGATTCTTGGACTGCGCCGAGCGCGAAGGAATAAATATCTTTAAATGAATGTATACGCGCGTGATTGCGATCAAATTCGACGCGCTAGTGTCGCTCGATCTCACCTAAAATAATTTGCGTCGATGGGGAGATTTTTCGGAGCTTGTTGAAGACCCAATACTTGAACCCGATGTCGAGCGTGACGGGCACGACGGCGACAAAGATGCGCACCGCCATCTCGCACTTGTGGAAATCGATCCCGTAGTGGGTGATAATCGTGGCCAATATGGCTTGCCAACCGTCCGAGGAGTGATAACCGACCAGCATGTCCGCGCCGAGCATCAGAATAAACGCCTGCGTAGCGGCGTCTAAGGAAATAAATTCGTCGCTGATTTCGCCGAGCAACCGAGCGATGTTGGACTTTTGTAAGGTCACGATCGTGACTGTCATCGTGATGAAAATCAGAGAGCCGATGACGTTTCCGGTCGCGACGTAGGACTTATGACGCTCGATATCCTCGAGCCTGCGGGCCTCTTCGACTAACATCTCCCGAGTCGTCGTCTCTGTGTGCACGTGCTTGTGACCGGCGATGATCCTATCGTAGTACACGCGCTGTTCAAACCTCTGTATCCCGTTCGCTACGTTTTCTCGCTGCTGAGACGTGAGCGATGCATTCATCCGTCCCCAGTGCGCCCCGAGCCACGGGTTCACGATCACGCTCTTCACACTCTGCGCCGCAACGAATGGTGTGACAAATAAAACCAAAAACGCCCGCCACAGCGAGTGAGACAGTCGCCACCACCGCATGCGCTCCGCCTCCTCGCTCTCGGCGATGTTGTCGTCGAAAATATTCTTTAGAGCCGTCTCCAGGGCCGATTTCTTCTTCCCGTTCGTCGCAGACAACCCTTTGGCGCCACTCCCGCTCGACGACTTCGTCTTCTTCGTCGTCCCGCTCGCGCCGTTCGTCATCCCGCTCGTCTTCTCCGTCCCGCTCTCGCTCGGGCGTCTCCAGGGTTCGTCGACGGACGCGCTCACGACGATATCACGTCGTTTCGGCGTCGCGGCCGCGCGCGCGAGAGAGAAAGCGTCGCGTTTGCTCGCGTCGACGATTTCTCTTCTTCCGCTCGTCGACGTCGAGCTCGTCGCTTTCAGCGTCGCACGAGGGACAGTGATCGGTGTAACGACCATCGTGCGATCGGTGGCAAACGCGCCGGTGCGCGCGCGTCGTGATGTGAGGTGTATTGCAGAATGTTGGATCAATCCAACAAGGAGGCTGCTGGGCCGGCGCGATTGCCGGTGCGGAGGGGGTTAAATACCCGGATGACGACGTGTGAGCGCTATCGTACTATTAAAGTTACAACTGTTTAGTAAATAATACATGGACATCGCGCGACGCGCGGGGACGATCGAAGAAGCGGAAGAAGCGACGTCATCGCTCGGCGAGCGCGGATGCGAACGCGTCAAAGTCCTCGGGTGGGTCGCGGCTGAAATCCATGGCTTCTCCCGTGCGCGGATGGGTGAATCCGAGCGTTCGCGCGTGGAGCATCGGTCGGTCAATTCTCGATAAGAGCGCTTTCGCAGCCTTTAGGTCGAACACGCCGCGGCGCGCGAGGGCATCAACCGCGGCGCCGCCGCCACCGCCGTAGACCTCGTCGCCAAGTATCGGGTGGCCGATGTGTTTGGCGTGCACGCGGATCTGGTGCGTGCGTCCGGTCTCGAGCCGCCACTCGACGAGAGAGGCGTTACCACTCGCCAGAGTGGCGATGACCTCGTAATTACTCGCCGCGTATCGCCCGCTCCCTGGAGTGACGGCCATGCGAAGCCTGTCCTTGGGGTCGCGTCCGACTGGCGCTTCAATGCGTCCTTTGCTCGTCTTCGGTACCCCGCTTAGGATGGCGACGTACCTTCGACGAACGGTCCTGGATGCGAACTGATTGCACAAAGAATTGTGCGCCGAAGCGTCTTTCGCGACGACCATGACCCCACTCGTTCCGCGGTCCAACCTGTGCACAATGCCCGGCCGAATCGAACCCGCGTCGTCGTCCGAATCCGACGCAGATTCCGCGTCCGAATCCGACTCTGACGTCGACGGTCCGTCGTCGTCGTCAAAATCACCGTCTTCGTTCATTCTGTTCGACACCCGTCCCGTGGGAACGACCAACTCTGGCAAGTCGCAGTGTCCCAACACCGCGTTCACCAGCGTCCCGCGCGCGTGCCCCGCGCTCGGATGCGTCACCATTCCGGCCGGTTTACACACCACCAGCACGCTCTCGTCCTCATAAACGATATCTAACTCTATCGAGGGCTCGGGAATCGCCTCGCTCCGGCGCTCGCCCTCGAGCTCGCCCTCAACGATGTCGCCCGGTTTTACGCCGCGCGCGGGCTTTCGCTCCGTCTTTCCATTCACTTTCACCATGCTCGCCTTGATCGCCCGCGCGACGCGCGCGCGCGACGCCGAGGCATCCACGACGCTGCTCGCGACGTACGCATCGAGCCTGGGCGAGGTATCGTCGACGCAATCGTCGCGAGAGACGAGTAAATGAAATTTCGCGCCGCCCGGAATCACCTCGTTCGCGGTCGATTTCTCCCGTTTTTTCGCGCCGTTCGCGACGACGCTTCGCCTGTTCGTCGTGCGTATCGCATTCGACGCGTACGGCGCACGCGCGCGTCGCGCGAGCGCCGAGAGCCCCGCGCGCATGACTGCGAGCTCGACGCAAAAACGTCGCGTCACGTGCATCGTCACAATGTACAAAGCACCATTCGATGTTTTCACCTCGAAAGGCGACCACCTTTCGAAATCGAAACATGGTTGAAAGGGGTGACGACGAAAAAAGAATCTCATCGAAAATCCAGCGCAGAGCGCCCCGCATTCGTCGACGCGCGCGCGTCGTCGCGTGAAACCCGCACGGAAAACGCCTCGTCGTTGCACCCGTCGATCGATACCACACAGAGCCCGTGCGAGATGTCAGACGAGACGCAAAAGACGCCCGTGACGATCGTCACCGGCTTCCTCGGCGCCGGCAAGACGACGCTCGTGAATCACATCTTGCGCGGTGATCACGGGTTGAAGATCGCGGTGATCGAGAACGAGTTCGGTGCCGTCTCGATCGATGACGCGCTAGTGAGTGAAAACATCAAGGAGAAGGAGGACGTGATCTCGATGGATAATGGGTGCGTGTGCTGCACCGTCAGAGGCGACTTGGTGCGCGCATTGTTGACTTTGAGGGATCGAGGGAAGAAGTTTGACGCTGTGATCATCGAGACCACTGGGTTGGCCGATCCCGCGCCGGTGGCGTTCACGTTCTTCATCAACCCAGAGATCGCTGAGAACTACAGGATCGATAGTATTCTGTGCCTGGCGGACGCGAAACACGTGGCGCTGCACATGGAGGAGGAGAAGCCAGATGGGGCAGTGAACGAAGCGGTGCAGCAGGTGGCGTTCGCGGATCGAATTTTGTTGAATAAGATCGATCTCGTGAGCGAGGAGGAGTTGGAGACGTTGGAGAAGACTTTAAGAAGCGTGAACGCGAGCGCAGAGGTGTTGCGGACGCAAAACTCCGTCGTCGACCTCAACGTCGTGTTGGGGGTGAACTCGTTCTCGTTGGAGAAGACTCTGGAGACTGATCCGAGCTTTATGGATGAGAATAAGGAGAATAAGCACGACTTGACGGGCGTGAGCTCGGTCGGGATCGCGGTCGAGGGCGAGCTCGATTTCCAAGCCGTGAACGAGTTCATGATGAATCTGCTTCAGGAAAACGCGCTCAACATGTACCGATCGAAGGGCGTCTTGTGCTTCGAAGGACAGGGTGACGCAAAATTCGTGTTCCAGGGTGTGCATGAACAGATCAATTTCGGTCCCGCCGCGTCGACGTGGGCCGAAAACGAGCCGAGGATCAACCGCATGGTATTCATCGGTCGCAACCTTGATCGACCGGCGCTCGAAGCCGGATTCCGCGCATGCCTCGCGAAGAAGTAAATCCGAACGCCACGCCGACCGATATCTGAGCGAACCGTATTTAAAGTCGCGTGACGTACGTCGGCCACATATTTGTCATCATCATCATCATGAAAATCGCACGTTGAACGCGGAGTCATCGAAGCGTCGTCTCGTCTCGATTCGCCGCGCGCGCGCGTCCGCACACCGAGGCGCCCCATCGCGTCGAGCGCGCTTTGACTTGGACTCGATTTCATCCGTAACGTTCCACACGACACAGATACACGAATCAAGGCGCGAACGAACCTCTATGCGAGACGTACGTCCGACGCGCGCATCGTTGCGACTGTTCGTGTCTTCTCGCGCGCGCGCGTTCACTTCGTGCGTCGCCCTCGCACTCGCAATCGGCGCGCGCGGACGGTCGCTCATCGACGACACAATTCCAGAGGTTGGACGTCAATGGTCAACGGCGATGCGAGCGATGGGCGACGAGTTCGTTCCGAGGGACGCGCTTGACGCGGTGCACGATTTCGAGACGGAGTGCCTGTCGCGCGGAATCGGTGCGTTCATCGATCGAATGACGTACGTTAACGCATCATCGGACGCGGTGGAGGCGTACGTGGTCAGTACAGAGGTGTGTGACGGGACGCGAGATGCGGCGGCGATGTCGAGTGCGAGGATGGCCTCGGCGAGTGAGGCGAGTCGCCGAATGCGGGCACACGTCGAGTACCTCGCGCGCGTTGTTCGTCAACACGCGCGAGAGCGAGCGAACGAGCGCGACGCGGTTGTGTTATTACGGGAGACGTTTGATGAGGCGTACAGGGTGCTCACGAGTGGGATTTGTTTCGAGAGCGAGCCGAGGTTGTCATCGCCAGCGGCGCGCGCGGGTGACGCACGAGCTTTGGCGACGACAATGCGCGCGGAGGTACGCGAGGAGCTTCGCGTCGCGAATTTGGCGTATATCGAAAACGCGTTCGCGAACACTACGGTCGACGCGTGGATCGAGCGGATATTCACGGCGTACGATGTGTGTCGCGTCGTTGGAAAATTTTGGTCGGCGCCGGTGAGCAAGAACGCGTTCGATCTCATTCAAGCGCATTACAACGCGCTAGATTTCCTGACGACGAGCGTGAACTCAGGGTCAGAGATGAAAAGAACTGGATCCCGTGCAATGGCATTTCTCATCAACGCCGCGCGGGACGTTTTGCGAAGCGCCGATTCGTGCGGAGCGGCCACGAAAATTGAGAACGGACGATACTTCGTCTCGAGAACGTTCGACGTCATCATGAGCGAACTCTCCCTGGAGTGCGGATTATCGAGAGTCGGTCTGGAGTTTTTGGACTTTCACACGCGCGATGGAAGCCATTCTTTGTCGCTCGAATTGGAAGAAATCTCCCACATCGACCAGTGGTGCTCACAGTCGAACGCTTCAGCGTCGACCATCATCAATCTCAACGCCCACGCCTTGCTCGACCTCGTCAGAGGTCTCGAGACGATAGATACATCCATGATGGGATGTCACCGCGGACGCGAGCCGACGCGGGCACGAGAGCTCGCGTCGGCGCTCGCGCGGACGATTGAAAAGGTTCGCGATAGCGGATGCGTCAGCGTCGCCGGATCCTTCGAGGCGGCCGCGGTGAGCGCGATGACACGCGAGACAGTCAATAGTGTCACCACGGGCACGTCGCCGACGCCCACGACGTCCGCAACGCCGGTCAGTGAAGGACGTCTAGCGATGGTGTCCGCTGCGTTGGCGACGGCTTTCATCAGCGTCTTGGCGCTTATCGCGTGGATCACGTTCTCCTGCGCTAAGCGCACGATGGCCACGCACAAACGTGCGCCCTCAAACGGCTACGCGCGATACGTCGACGACGACATCCCGAGCGAGGAAACCAGAGTCCGAGCTCTCCGCCGTTCGCCCGGCTCGCCGCCGCGCAGCACCAGACGCTTCTCCTTCTCCGCCGCCGACGCCAACTACGTCCAGCGCACGCGCTCGCTTGACCCAGAACACCTTCACTTCTCGTGAACCACCGACGAACGACCTCTTGATATGCGACGATGAATTATCCGAGACAAAGAAGACAAAGTCTGCGGGGAGCATCAACCGCGCGCCATTCACGACCCGCCACCCGACTCCTTCGCCCGCAACACCGCCAACCGCTCATTATTCCGCTTCGCAATCCTCCGTTTTGCCACCTCGCGCTCGCGCTCGCTCAGGCTCTCCCAATTCCCAATTCGAGACAACGTCCCGTCCTCGCTCACTGCGCGCGCCGAAAGCGTTCTTCGTCAGTCCGCGTCCAACATCTCACGCTCGTCTCCGACGCACCGACGATCGGACCCAAGTGATCGAACGTAATCTTTGCGTCCTCGCCGAGCGTCAATCGCGGCGTCGCGGCGTCGACATTGGTCGCCGACGGAAGCGCCGGGACCTCTTTCGACATCACTTCGCGTCGCGCTCTGACGTCGCGCGCGAGCGCACGCCCGCGCTCGGGTCGTCGTGAGAGACGCGGAGCACGCGATTAAGCGTATCGGTTCAGATCGATGCGGACGGGTGCAGACGCGCGTGGCGCGCTCGCGGAGGCGATTTCGAGGATTTCGTGTGACTTCTCACCGGCGAGCGATGTGTCGTCGTCTCGTCGCGCATACGGCGAGCGCGAGGCCGAGGATCGCTCCGTGTGTGCGTCTGGGGTAATATTCCCGCTGACATTTACTTTTCGACGCATTCGGGGACGTCCAGATGTATTTTTCGAGGTCGCCGCGGGAACGTTCGGCGACGCGCGGGCGACGCGTGGGCGCAAACGACGAGCGAGCGACGCTCCTGGCGGGTTAGATTGCATAATAGACACTGTGGGTGATTGGTTGGTATCTCCGGATGCGCGGGCGATCGTGGCAACGATGTGTCTGCAGATTGCGTTTCCGGAGACGACGCGGAGGGTGGCGACGGCGGGCGCAGCGCTCGCGCTCGCGCGGGAGACGCTTCGACGATCGGAGAGCGAGCCGCGGAGTTTGGGGGTGATGGATAAGAACGGTGTGGTAGTGATGACGCGTGCGGCGCTGGTAACGCGGGCGTTCGCGACGACGACGCGGTTTTTAGTTCCGACGGCGCACGCGTGGACGACTGCTGCCACGGCACTCCTGAGCGTCAAGTTGTTGTTCAAACAACCGCCCCTGCGCGCTGGATTAGCGAGAGCGATGCACGGGACGAGGGGGGTGATGACGAGCGATGAGCGCATAGGTCTCTGGCACACGCGGTATCGATGGGCGGCGCTGCGATTGGCGAAGCACATTCCGAGCGATCCGGTTCGCACCATTGACGACGCGCCGCTCGCGGGATTACTCGTGCTCATCGAGGGTTTAGCCATGCGCATGGGGGGATTGAATCTCGTTGAGGATGGAAACGCGCGCGAGGGGTCGTTTTCGATGAGTTTGCCGGCGAGTTGGCGTGCGGCGAAACGCGCGCGAAGGCTCACGGCGCTCGGCTCAAAGCGCGCAATCGAGGCTGAGGGAAAACTTCATCCGGTGGACGTCCTCGACCTGGTGCGAGCGTCGATGCGCGACAGCTTTGACGGCATACGACGTCCAGATCTAATGAACATCGCGGTGAACGACAACGTTCGTGGAGGTTCTACCCGCGATGAGGGGTCGCGCAGTCGAGAAATTGTTCATCTGCGCGCAGGAGCCGACGTCGTCGCGCGTCCGGAACGTGAAGAGCTCGTCGGCGACTCCGAGGGCGGTGAGACGAACATCTGGCGAGATACACAACTGTCGTCGGCGTCTTGGGCCACCGACGGACTGTCCGCCGCACTGATGCTTCGAGCGACCTATCTCTTCATCACCTGGCTCCCGGTGCTCACGGTGGCCATTCCGCTGTTGATGCTTAGTAAGGCGAGTCCGGGTCCGCTGAGCGCGGTGATGCGAAAGCGCGCTTGGTCGACGCTTCACACGGCAATAGCTCTGTGCGGTGCCGCGTTCATCAAGTGGGCGCAGTGGGCGAGCACTCGTGAGGACGTTTTCCCGAAGGATTTGTGCGAACAATTCGAGCAGCTTCACGATGACGCGCCAAAGCATTCGTACAGACAAACGTATCGAATCCTATCTCGAGAGCTCGGATGTGATCCGAGATTGATATTTGTGCAGTTCTCGAAGACTCCAATGGCGTCCGGATCGGTGGCGCAGGTGTACAAGGCGCGCCTGCGCAGGGAAGTGGCCGCCGTGTGCTCGGAGCTCGCAAAACCTCGAAGGCTCACTCTGAACCAGGACGGTACGATGGACGTCGCTGTGAAAGTTCGACATCCGAACGTGGCGAAACGCATCTTCTTAGATTTCCAAATATTACGAGCCGTCGCCGGCTTTGCCGATTCCCTGACCGCGCTCAAGGGGATGCACCTGAAGAACACGCTGGGACAATTCAGTCACACGATGACGTCGCAGACTGATTTGCGAAACGAAGCCGATCACCTACTGAAGTTCACGCACAACATGAAGCGAGAGGTGCAAGTCGTCGCGCCTCGTCCTGTCCCGGGGCTCGCCACCGAGGCTGTGCTCGTAGAGACATTCATGCAGGGCGACGGCTTGGGGAACGCCATCAAACGAAAAACGTCCCGAAATTCAGAGCTTTGCTCTCTGGGTGTTCACACCTACATGCTCATGCTACTGCGGGATAACTTCATACATCAAGACTTACACCCGGGTAATATTCTGTACAGCGTGCATGATCCGTCGAACGCGCGGGAAAAGCCTTCTGTCGACGCGCAAGGCGTCACGAAACTAGAGTTGATTGATTTCGGAATAGCCGACGAACTCCCGCAAACGGTGCGGAACAAGTTCATCGGGTTTCTGTGTTTTCTTCTTCGCGGCGAGGGCGAAAAAGCGGCGGACGTGGCGTTAACGTGGGATACAAAGCAGACTTGCACGAACGTCGTGGCTCTTCGTCGCGACATGGCCCATCTCGTGTCGATCAAGGGTGACATTTACAAGCGGCGCGTCGATTTGGATGAACTCTTGAAGGAAATCATGCAACTCTTCCGGAAGCACTCGGTGAGCATCGACGGTATCTACGCCTCTCTCGTGGTGTCGCTGTGCGTTTTGGTAGGTTTCGCGACGAGCTTGGATCCGGAAATTAATCTCTTCGAAGTCGCCGCGCCCTCTGTCATGGCTTTCGCGTTGACTGGAAACGTCGTGGGCAGACTCTTCGAGGCTTAGGAATTCTTTTGTTGTACCAATTGTAACCGACGATTCACTTTGCTTTGATTTATTGTGACACGCGCGACACGCTCCTAAAGTTTGAGCAGCATTCTACGAGGGTCTTCCACCGACTCCTTGATGGACTTCAAAAATGTCACGGCTTCGCGGCCGTCGACGAGGCGGTGGTCGTACGTCAGCGCAACGTTCATCATCGGTCGCGCCGCGATGGTTCGCTCGGGACCGACGCACACCGGTCTCCACACGATGGAGTGCATGCCGAGAATCGCACTTTGTGGAGGGTTGATGATTGGCGTCCCGGTGAGGGATCCGAACACGCCGCCGTTGGAGATGGTAAAGGTACCGCCCGCCATTTCGTCAATGGAGAGCGTGCCGTCCTTTGCCTTTTTGCCGTACGTTGCGATTGAGGCCTCGACGTCGGCAAAAGTCATGCTCTCGCAGTTCCTCAGCACCGGCACCACGAGTCCTCTCGGCGCGCTCACGGCGACCGATATATCAACGTAGTTTCTGTACACGATTTCGTCGCCGTCGATGACGGCGTTCACGGATGGCTCCTCCTGAAGCGCCTTGGCCGCGGCGGAGACAAACGTGCTCATGAAACCCAACTTGACACCGTGCTTCTCTAAGAACGAGTCCTTGTATTCGGCGCGCATGTTCATCACGTTCGTCATGTCGATCTCGTTGAACGTCGTGAGCATAGCGTACGTGTTTTGAGAGCTCTTCAAGCGCTCGGCGACGCGCAGGCGCAGACGCGACATCGGCACCCGCGTCTCGGATCGCGATCCCGCCGCCTTGGGCGCGGGTGCGGGCGTCGCCGCCGCTTTCGGGGCCTCCACAGCCTTGGGCCCCTTCGCCGCCTTCGCCGCGGGCGCTTCGGCCTTCACCTCCGCCTTGGTCTCGGCGCGCGCCTCCGGTCCCGGCCCCGGCGCGAGCGTCGCCACCTTTTGACCGACGGACACCGTCTCGCCCTCCTTGGTCAAAACCTCCGTCACCGTCCCGCTCGTCGACGCGCGAACGTCGATCGTCACCTTATCCGTTTCAATCTGCGCGATAATTTCATCCATGGCGACCCGTTGCCCCGCCTTGACGAGCAACGCGGCGACGCTTCCCTCGGTGATGGAGTCGCCCATCGAAGGCACTTCCACGCCCACCGGCTCGGCGCTCGGCGCGCTCGCCGCCGTCTTCGCCGACCCTCCCCTCGCCGTCTTCTTCCCATTACCTCCCGCACCCGGGACGAACGCCATGACCACCTGCCCCACGCGCACGGTATCACCCGTCTTCGCGTCCACCCTCGCGACGTTCCCCGCGCTCGGCGCCCGCACGTCCACCGTCACCTTGTCCGTCTCGATTTGCGCCACGACTTCATCCGTCGCGACGTCGTCCCCCACCGATTTCATCACCGCGCTCACCGTTCCCTCCGTGATCGAATCACCCATCGACGGCACGCACACGAGCGTTTCCGTCGTCGTGGACGTCCATCGCGCCTCGCGCGAACGCGTTCGCCCGCCCGACGCGATCGCGCGATTCGCGATCGCGCGATTCGCGACGACATCCATCCATCGTGTCGTCGCGCCGTTCGTCCCCTGCGCGCGCGCGGCATCGTCTCGGCGCGTCAATCATCCGCGTCGTCGGATCCGCGTCGTCGCATCCGCGTCCCGTGCATCGGTCGAGGCGATCGTCGCGATGATCGATCGTCAATCGCGATGCATCACTCATCAATCATTCATCGATCGCCCATCGACGACGCACCGCGAAGACGTGACGCGAGCGCACCGCGCGTCGCTCGTGCGCGTTCACGAGCGCGCCGAGCGCGCGTCTCGCGTGGTCGATCGCGCGCGCGCGTCGCATGCGTGGCGTCGATCGCGACGCGCGCGAATGTGCGGTCGCGGCGTCGCGGGGCGTCGAGAACGCAATTGTTGAATCGCGTGTGAAGCACATCTTTCGCATCGATGCGTATGGTTCGCATGCACATCGTCCTAACGCACATTTTCGTCTCACGGTGAACGCGCGTGCACGTCCTTGGCGGTGGGATCGTCGCGGAGACGCGCGTTCGCCGCGACGTCCGCGACGTCCGCGTCGTCGCCCGAAAGAATGGCGCCCGAACTACCTTCCTCATCCTCGCACGCGCGCTCGGCGTCGACCGCGGCGACGGCGGCGTGGAGATTCACAGCCACCATGGCGTCCGTGGCGCTCCGCGACGCCGAGGATTCTCGAATCCGTCGCAGGTTGGCCAAAACATCGAGCGCGGCGCCGCGGTCGCGCGCGCGCAACGCGTCCAGTCGCGCGCTCGCCTCGGCGTGCGCTCGTCGACGATTATCGTCGTCGCACGTCGTCGGATCGACGTCGAAGAAGGCGGCGAGAAAGCCGTACACCGCGGAGAGATTCGGCGTCTCGGCTCGATCGCGCGCCGCGCGTCGGTACGCCCCGCGCGCGCGATCGACGAACGACCCGTCGCTCGTTCGTTCGACGCGCACGCGCATCGCCTCGGTGCGTCCGCGCGCGTCCGCGTGTAGTTTCACCGCCAAGCGCGACAGGTCCACTCGACGTCCGCGCGTCCTCGGCGGCGCCTCGCCCGAGGCGTCCCGTCGGAGTTTGGCGAAATACTTTTGCGCGTGCGAGCGAATCTGCGTCGGGGTCTTCGTCCGCACGTGCGCGGTGACGGCGCGCCAATCGCGCTGATGGAGACGAATCGCCTCGACGAATCGCTCGTGTTCGTTCGCCGTCCACGTCGTCGGCGCGTTCGCGCGCACGTACGGTTTTCGCGGCTTCTTCGCCGCATCCTTCACCTCGTCCTCGAACCGCGCGGGGGAGATCGACGTCGCGGTGGACATCACGTGCGTGGTGACTTGGGCGACGCCGACGGGCGCCCACGTGCGCTCGACGGCGCGCGCGGAATCCCTCCGTCCAGAGACGCGCGTCTCGTTGTGCGGCGTCGACGCGTTCGCTCGTTCGCGTCGTCAATCGGGAGAGACCACGCCCTTCGATCGAGCGTCGGCGAGGAGTGCGTCGTAGTCCACGCCGCGCGCGCGAGCGATCTCGCGAAGCTGGGACTCGGAGACGACGCTCGGGCGAGACGCGCTCGGCGAGGCGACGGGCGACGCGGACTCCGACGACGACGGCGTCGGCGACGGCGCGGGCGTCGATGTGGCGCCGTCCACGACGGTTTCCACCGAAGAAGAAGACGCGGCGTCGCGCGCGCGCGCCCCGGCGTCGTCTTTCCCGACGTCTCGTCGTCGTCGTCGTCGCGCCTCGCGCGCCCGCGTCAGCGCCCCCGCGAGCGCCTCGCCGAGCGGTTTATCCAGGTTATCCTCGCTCGCGATGACCACGGGCACGTTCGCCCCTCCCCGGGCCTCGATCGCGCTCACGATCAACGCGATCTCTCCCAGATCCAATCCGCTGAACGCGAGCGTCCGCGACGGGCCGCCGCCGCCGCCCGCGAGCCCGTCGTCCACCCTCGGCCGCGTCCAATCCGGCTCTGGCTCCATCGCGCACGCCCTGAGCGTTCTCCACGCGTGTTCGGACCCGAGCGGGATCACCGGGACGTCGTAGCCACCGAGCTCGTCGAGTAAAACGCGCGTCTCCGCCGTCGCGCGTTCGGGAAATCCAAAGAGGAGCACCGCCGGCGGTCCGCTCGGTACCGACCCGCGATCGGGGTCGACGCCGAGCATCGCGTTCGCCGCGGACTCGGTCAAATCGCCGTGCTCGGGCTCGGACGTGCCGTCGTCGGCGTCGTCGTCGTCGTCGGTGGTGGCGCGCTCGCGCGCGCGCGACGCCGCGGCCGTCATGCGCTCGAGCCAATCATCCTCGGGGTCGTGCGCCCGCGACGCGAGCGATCGTCGCGCGCGAGGCGCGGGTGCGCGACGGTGGAGAAGACGTCCGCTTCGGAAGGGGGGCGCGCGGCGCGAGGGGGGGCGAGCGACGCACGGCATGACGCGCGCGGCGGAAAGTGCGGAAAGCGCGGCGCGGCGGTTACAACGCGAGGCGATGGGGTCGTAGGGACGACGGCTAGGACGACGCGCTCCCGGCGATGATTCGATCCATCACGGCGGTATCCATGGGTGAAGGATCGAAGGATCTCTGGGCGGCGGCGGCGCGAAGCTCATCGAGTAAAGTTTTGACGGCGCGCGTCTCGCGCGCGTCCAAGGCGAATTGGCCGCTCGGCGTGAATCTGAGCAAGACGTGTTCGGCGAGGAAGCGCACGTCCACGGCGAGCTGCTGGTAAGCAAACTTCGTGGGGAACGTTTGACATCGGACGCACTCGATGTATGTTTTCAGCGCGCGTTTGATCACGGCGCACATCACCGACGACTGCGTCGACGTCACGGGAGCAAACGCGCCCTCGATCGCGTCAGCGTTGGAACTAGCGACGCCATCGCGGTCGATCTCACCCACATCCAGAACTTGTTCGCACTCACTCTCAACGCTGGACAAGAAATTTGAGATGAAATCAGCGAGCGGACGTACCTCGCGAGGTTCGCGCACCTTGCTCCAATCCGCCGCGGTGAGTGACTTGCGAATCATGAATCCGACACGGTGAGCGCTCTGCTCGACGTACCATGTCAACAAGGCGTTGGAAGCGGATTCGCACATCAGGTGCGTATCATCTAGGTTGAAATCTCCCCCGGTCACCATCGCGGCGGGGAACATTTTCCCCAACGCCTCAGCGATATGCTTCATCGCCGAGGTGTTTAAGAACGCACACATCCGCGCGCATACGAGCGAGAAACTCGGTGGCGGTGGCGTTTTTGACACCATCGTCGTCGCTGTCGCGATGGCGACGGCCAGAGGCGTTCGTAAAGGCGTGGGATTCGGAGCAGGATCCGGCGATATGGGACAACCCACGATGAGAAGAGCGACGAGCGCGTGAATCAAGCTCGCAAAGTGCCCGCGCACCATGTACGCAAACTCCTCGCGCCAGCTCGATATTAGAATCGGGCGCTCGTCCATGAGGGATTCAACGTCGTGCAGAAGCGAGTGCACGCTCGTGAGAAGGGTGTCCGAGAGAGCGATGAAGCGCTGCAAGAGCAATTTTTTACCGAACGACGTCTCGCTCGACGCGTCGACGCTCGGCTGACGATTCGCTGCCTCTGCGGACGCCGATTTGGCGGCTTCGTACGTCGCGTTGACCTCGCGCACCAAGTCTCTCTCTAGAGACGCGAACGCGACGCCAACACGGCTGCGAACGATGCGTTCGACTGTCTCCATTGCGCGGTCGCCGAGCGCCGCTTCGGGGACGGCTCTGTGAACGCTCGCGAGATCTGCCGCCATCGTCCCCATGGCGGACATCAACTGCTTCGGATTCATCAAACCCGCAACGTCCGCGTCTGGGGCGTACGCCTCGCGCACTAACACGAAATAGTCCACGAACGCCTCCTTTGTAAACTTCACCAGCGCTCGGCGCGAGTCGTCCGCCTCGGCGAACATCTTTTCAAACGCGTCCAGCGCCGCGGTGAACTCTCCCAGGAAGAGCTGATTCAGCTCGCTCATGAACGCCTTTGGATTCGCAACTTCATTCGTCATCAACGTCTTCGCGCTCTCGAGTTTGCTCGCTAATCGTTGTTTCCGAGATTTGAGAAAATCATCCCTGAGCTCGACCTGGGACACGCGAAGGACGGCTAAGAGCTCCAAACACATCTCGTCGGACACCCCGAGCTCGATCAGATCCCGCTTCGACGATGACGTCGTCGTCTCATTGTCCCCCGACGCGGCGTCATCCCCCAACGCGCTCGTCCGCGCGCGCTCCTTCAATCTATCGACGATCACCTTCAGCGCGTCGTCGCACCTCCGCTTGGCCCTCCGTAACGCCTTCGCGTCCGACCCCTCCCCACCGAGCGCGTCCAAGACCTCACGAACCTCGACGTAGTTCAAAATCACCCCTCGCACGTCCTCTTCCGACGCATCGATCCTCTGCGCTTGCCCACGTCCCATCGCGCGCGCTAACTCCTCCAGAGCCGGAGCCGTCCGCAGC